CTGGGCTGGGGCGGGTGGGCGCAGTCTCTGTCCCCTCCTCCTGCCTGGACACTGGGCTCTCTGGAGGAGCCAGCCCAGACAGAGCAGGACCAAGATGGGAGGCCTTGGGGCTGCACCTCTCAGGCCTCGGCACCCCTCTCTGGAGCGTGGAAAGGGCACACCCGGCACTCCACCCGGGCGCCGAGTAGCCTCCAAGAGCCTCAGTGCTCCTCCAGCCAGCTGGGTCCCGAGGCCAGGCATGACACCCACCCCCATCATGGCAGCTCCGGGCCATCCCAGCCCGCTCTAGCCCCAGTGGTTAGAGGCAGGCCTAGGCCAGCCTCGTCTGGGAGGCTCCAGGAGCCCTGCCCAAGCAGGCACTGGGCAGGGGATGGTATTAGCCAGAGAAGCCCCCAGTGAGGATGGCGCTGGCCTGACCGGGCTCCCGCAGAGCTGGACTGCAGGGACTGCCAGGAGCTCTGTAGCCCTCGGACCCCGAAGCACCCCTGGGATATGGGAATGCAGGAGCTGTCTGTGGAGGGCAGAGAGGGACGTGGGAGCAGACCCCGGGGCCGTCAACAGCAGGCAAGACATGAGGGCCCCACGTTACACGTGGCCTCTGGCAGAGCACTCTCCACAGCTCCAACCTGCCGAGCCAGCCTCTGACCCCTGCCCCCCAAACCCTGATGAAGCCCACAGCCTGGGCGGCCCCAGGAGACTCCAAGGTCCTCCAAGTCCTGAGGCACCAGGACGGGGACAGGCCTCAGAGACTCGCAGGGAAGGCCACGAGGAGGCCTCCCGCCGCGTCCCAGGGCTCAGGGAGTGAGAGTCCCAGTAAATGGTAAATGTACCGGAGCCCCACGCACTAATCCAAGCCCTGAGAGAAACCCAGCCCGACAGGCGCCACGAGCCGGGGGCTGCCCAGGCCCCGTCACTAAGGTTGGAACGCTAGGAGCCAGGCCTGCCCAGCACCCTGCACCCTGCCCCTGCCCCGGCCAATGGGAAGCACCTGCGTTCTGGCCAAGACAGGGCCACAGAGCAGGGCTGGGAGGCTGGCTTCTCTCACCTCGGGGCAGGATGGGGCCACTTTTCATTCTTGGAACTTCGGAGGTGTCACCCACCCACCCCCTGGAAGCAAGAACGGCACAGGCCCAGCCCTGCCCTGGGTGGCAGAGGGGCCTGGCAGCACCTCCCATGGGCTCTGGCCACAGGGGCTCCCCTTCCTTCTCACATCATGGCAGGCCCCCACAAAGGCAGCTCTGGCCTGCGGGAGCTCCCTCAGCTCATGTTCCTGCCAGACCTCAGGCACCCTGGCCTCCCTGTCACACCAGCTGACAGACGGGTCACCACGAGACCGCCACCCCCAGCTCCTCCCCAGGCAACACCGGCCCCATGCCTGCCATGTCAGTTACTGGACCTCTCCTCCGTCTGCAGAGGCTCACGTTTTCTGGCCATCCCGCCGTTGGCTGAGCACTTCACAAAGTGCCAGTTGGGAGCGACCTCACTTCATCTCCTGGGCCCAGAAAGCGAGCGTCATCACCCCGCTTTACCCAGAGGCAGGGGACACCGTCCAGACCCCCGACGCAGCGGCTCAGCTCCTTTCGGCATCCGTCCTCCCCGGTCTGAGCAGGCACGCCCTGTCCTGCTGTCTCCCCGATCCAGTATGGTAGGTCGCCCGCCTCAGGCTGCCTCTGTCCAGACCACCAGAGCCCTCGGCCTGTGGGCCCAGGGCGGCTGTCTGTGGGAAGTCCCCCTCCCTGCCCAGAGGTCCTGGGCTGGGCTCAGCCTGGGCAGAAGCCCCACCACACCCCGGGGACCCTCAGTCCTGAGCTCTTCCCCCGCCGAGTTGTGCACCAGCCAGGGGCAGCGCCGGGGCCTTGCACCTCCAGGCCAGATTCCCCCAAGCACCTGCTCCGGCTAGCCCAGCCCCACCTCGCCCAGGTGTCCAGAGATGGCCAGGGGCCTGGACAGGCAGGTGGCCTCTCAGTGTCCCGCTCATAAACAGGAGTGGCCACTTCACCTGCCCCGGGGGGGACCTGAGAAGACAGGTGTTAACAGCCCACACACACCTGCTTCCTCGATTCCAGCCCCAACCTTTCCACGCACTCAGCCTCTGTCAGGCCCCGTCATGGCCCCTGTGCCCTCTGGGCCACTGGGATCCCTGATGTGGCCTTGCTGGGTAGGGCTGGTGCCTGGGCCCTCACCTTCCAGTTCCAGCTGCCTCATCGTGGAAGCCCAGCAAAGAAGCAGAGGCTTTGGGAAGGTTCAGAGTGACCCCTCCCTGCTGTCCAGCTCGGGGTGTGTGGGGACCCGGGGCCCGTCCACGGCAGGACCGTACAGTGCGCGAGCAGCCCGGCTAGTTAGAAGTTTTATTGATTGAGCACAATTGAGTGTGAGTAGTAAAAGTTCTCCTGATGTAACCCACTTTTTCTTAATGGGTAATCTCAGACACTCGAGTTTGTATGTTAAAGGAGGTTTAGGACAATTTAATAGCTCATAAAATTTTATAGTCCCAGTTGAAATCAGAGTGATAACTCCGGCCTGCACAGCTATAGTTTGCTAAATGTCTCTCGTCTATTTTTCCTCTCGTTTATTGGAAAGTTAACATCTGCTCCGCTATGGGGGAAGGAGGGGTGGAAGGACTGCCTCATCGTGGAAGCCCAGCAAAGAAGCAGAGGCTTTGGGAAGGTTCAGAGTGACCCCTCCCTGCTGTCCAGCTCGGGGTGTGTGGGGACCCGGGGCCCGTCCACGGCAGGACCGTACAGTGCGCGAGCAGCCCGGCTAGTTAGAAGTTTTATTGATTGAGCACAATTGAGTGTGAGTAGTAAAAGTTCTCCTGATGTAACCCACTTTTTCTTAATGGGTAATCTCAGACACTCGAGTTTGTATGTTAAAGGAGGTTTAGGACAATTTAATAGCTCATAAAATTTTATAGTCCCAGTTGAAATCAGAGTGATAACTCCGGCCTGCACAGCTATAGTTTGCTAAATGTCTCTCGTCTATTTTTCCTCTCGTTTATTGGAAAGTTAACATCTGCTCCGCTATGGGGGAAGGAGGGGTGGAAGGAAAAAAATGATCTATTTTTCCCGAAGAGAGGTGAGAGACTCAGGCACTCCTGGAAGCATCCTCTTTGCCAAACTCACGATTTTCCTGTAAGTCAGAAAGAGGTTCAATAAACAAGCTGACCCGGAGTTCACCGAGCACCACAGCGGGTGTCGCGTCCCTGCGGCGGCCGTTCTGCCGAAACGCTCGAGTCTATCCAGGCCAAGGCCACGCGCGGGACCAAACGGAATCCGGTGGAGCCCATTAAGAGTCACAACCTCGTAATTTATACGCACCTACTGTGTGTGGCCAGGAGCCACACAGAACCAGCATGAAGCTCACTGGCTACAAAGTTCTGAAACAACAGCCAGGCTCTGCACCCAGGCGAGAGGGCCAGAGGCTTCCAGGAAGGAGCAGCCCTCACAGGCTTCTGGGAGGAGGCGGAGTCTGGACCAGGGCTGCAGGATGGGCAGGATTTAGAGAGCTGGATGAAGTGACAGGGGAGCCCAGTGTCCTGGCCACACCACTTGCCAGCATGTCCCCGACATCTGGACCCTCAGTTTCCTCGACTTGAAGATGGGAATCGTGGTAGCACCTACTCCCGGGGTCAGCACGAGGCTAACAGAAGGTCCGGGAGGACGGCCAGTAGCAGGTGCTCAAGAAAGAACTTGAAGAAGACAGTTGGGCAGGTCCTCCCGATGTGAATTACCATGTGGTCCCTGCTAGGAACACACCCAAAGGTGCCCAACAAACCCACACACACAGGGGCACAGCACACGCCGTGGCCAAAGGGAGACAGCCCTGGGCAACTGGTAAACCGGAGGCCGTCTGCACACCTGGCGGGGTCACATTCAGTCACAGAAAGGAGAGGCGTGCCCTCCAGGGTGCAGACATGGGGACCGGGGTGCAGACGCGGGACTGACTGGGGTGTGGACAGGGGGACTGGGCTGCAGACGCAGGGACGAGGGTGCAGATGCACTGAGTGGGGTGCAGATGTATGGACCAGGGTGCAGATGCACTGAGTGGGGTGCAGACGCAGGGACCAGGGTGCAGATGCACTGAGTGGGGTGCAGACGCAGGGACCAGGGTGCAGATGCACTGAGTGGGGTGCAGATGCAGGGACCGGGGTGCAGATGCACTGAGTGGGGTGCAGACACAGGGACCAGGGTGCAGATGCACTGAGTGGGGTGAAGATGCAGGGACCAGGGTGCAGATGCACTGAGTGGGGTGCAGATGCAGGGACCGGGGTGCAGATGCACTGAGTGGGGTGCAGATGTGGGGACCGGAGTGCATTCGCAGGGACTGACCGGGGTGCAGACACAGGGACTAGGGTGCAGATGCACTGAGCAGGGTGCAGATGTGGGGACCGACCGGGGTGTAGACACGGGGACTGGGGTGCAGACACAGGGACCAGGGTACAGATGCACTGAGTGGGGTGCAGACGCAGGGACCAGGGTGCAGATGCACTGAGCGGGGTACAGACATGGGGACCAGGGTGCAGACGCACTGAGTGGGGTACAGACATGGGGACCGGGGTGCAGACGTGGTGACTGGGGTGCAGACACAGGGGCCGAGTACAGATCCAAAGACCGGGGTACTGATGCATGGATCTGGTACAGACATGCATGATCCAGGCTGCAGATGCGGGAGCCAGGACCCATCCTGAGTGAGAGCAGTCAGCCGCAGGGGTGCAGGAGGTGGAGTAAGTGACTTAAGAGACAGAAGGCAGACTCATGGGGCCAGCAGTGGTGTGGAGGTTGAGGTGGCTGGATTCCCACATGGTTGGACTGCACGGTTCGAGTCGTGGACCCAGCAGCTTGAAAAACAGGCCAAGCACGTGTGCATGAGTGGGGAATGGAGAAGGTGCTACAGTGTGGCCATCCCCCCAGAGAGAGATTTCTCACTCTCTCTGTCTCTGGTGAGCACATCTGCCTTCTAGCAAATTAAAAAAAAAAATTAAAAAGAAGAAAGAAAGCAGAGGCTGAGGGAGGGGAGAATGAGGAGGACTGCTTAGGGGGTAAAGGAGCTCCTTTTGGGGTGATGAAGGGGGTCTGGGACATTTGGGGGATGGCTGTCCAACACCATGCATGAACTAAACGCTTCAGAATGGCCGAATGCATGCCGTGTGGATTTCACTTCAATAAAAACAAGGTTTTTTTATTGAAGGAAATTCTTACAAGTGTGGTGCAAACACCAGCCACGGCCTGCCCCACATGACGCTCCCTCTGACCCTCCAACTGTGCAGCAGAATGACCCGGTCTCCCTTTGTGACACAGGCAGCCCAGAGCCACCCACAGACACACGGGCGGAGGGCGAGGCAGGTGGGGTCCATGAAGGGAAATGCGAAGCTGAGGCCTGCCCGGGGTAGGAGGGTGAAACCTGTCATGGAGTCCAGGGGAGGGCAGGGCCCAGCTCTCGGGGTGCTGCGGGGTGCCACAGGGTGCCAGCCAGCGCCTCCCCATGGGCTCCCACCCACGGGATGGGCAGAGCCTCTGCACCTCCGCCCCAGCCATGGCCGCCCTGACTTCCGTGCCTCCCAGGCTCCCCGTCCTCATCCCCACTTGGAGAAGGAGCCCAGGGTGAGTCTACACACCGTGTGCCTGTGAGGCTCCCGGCCCAGACAGGAGACCTGCCACAGCCCGGGAGCCACCGAGGGGCCCTCCAGGGTTGTCCCAGACCGCCTCTTCGGGCGCCTCTTGGGCCTCTCACTTCCCGCCCACTTGCCACTCCTGGCCTGGCCCGGCCCCTGGGCTCTTGCCCACCAGGGAAAAGACTAAAAGGCAGCCCCGGGACCTTTGTCTCCTGCCACGTGGAGCCCCCTGTGTGGCGAGGCTGTCCACACATGCAGAGCGGCGAGGAAGCCCGCCAGGACTAGCCGACCATGCCCACTGCCTGGGGGGCTGCCAGGGGCCACGGTCGTGCCAGACCGAGCTCAGCGCAGTCACTCTCTCCACCTCGGGTGCCGGAAACTCGCCTGCCAAGGAATCTGCAGGTCTCCAAACTCATGAACACCCCACGGGGTGTAGCTACCACTGGGAGTGGGGATTGGGGGGGGGGGGGATGGGCCTGCCGCCCGCGCCTCTCAGCGGGACGGTGACATGCAGGGCACCTGGGCACTCAGGGAGGTCCGGCGCGGAGTGCTGGCCTCCATTCCAGATTCGCAGTGAAGAGGGAGTTACAGAGGTCGCCTGTCTACCGCATGGGGCAGATTTCCATCCGTTCCCAATGTTCGAGTCCCTGGTAAGGGTCTGGGGATGGCAGCTGAAGGCGGCAGCCCCCCATCACTGGCTCAGCAGGGCCGCACACTGGTCCTCTACTACAATTTGTCATTGAAGCAAAGGACAGACTCCCCCACATCACAAGCCTGGCAGACTGGGCAGCGGCAGGGCCCTGCTGGCCCCTCCCCTGGGCAGAGCAGGCCGCATCGCCCGCCCACCCCCGCGCCTCCTCTAGACCTCCCCAGCGCTGTCCCTGATGTGTCCCGTCATGGCCTGTCCCAGGGCCGCAGTCGGACTGAAGCCCCCTTGCCCTTCGCTCTGTCCCGTGTAGACTCTGTCGCTCACACCAAGCACGACCTCCCGGCTGGACTTGTTCCCAGGACCCCGTCACCTGACAGATGACACGGTGGAGAACGCCGCGGTCGGCCACCTGAGTTTGGGGCCCCGCCTTGCCGTTTGTAGCCTGGGCAAGTCCCTCGACCTCTCAAACGGGGGAGAATGGCAGTGAGGCGGGGCTGCCCCAGTCGCCCCTGCCGCCCAGCCACAGGACTCATCAGCGAGAGGCTCGGTGACCGTTCTGCTCCTGTGCTCTCCGGGGAGGCTGGGCGTGCGACAAGTGCACTGTGGCGCTGAAACAGTCCCGTTGCAGGAGAGGGGACAGGCGGAGGAGGGGCAGGGTGACTGAATACCAGGAGGCAGCTACTCGCAGGTCAGCCATGCACGGTTCTGATCTCCGACTTACTCCCCTAAGAGACCCCCGGCATAAACCGGGTAATTCTTTCCCGAGCCGTAGGCATAACCACGGCAGGACCTCCGAGGCTGCGGGGCCCC